CCGGGCCTGGGGGTTCCCCCCGCCCCGGCCTCCTGCCAGTCACTACCACCCCTAACCTCTCCAACTGAGCTCGGCGCCGGGAGAGGATTAAGTAAGTGCTGAGGTCGCTGCTCCTGTGCAAGAAGGGAGGCATCACAGGGTCGCGGAGGCGGGCATGGGGATTGGGGCAGGGAGGACTGAGAGACCTGGTGGAGAACGGCATGCGGGTTCTCAAAGGTCGTGGTGCCGACCCCTTTCGCCCCGGTTTCCTTCCCTTACCCTTTGGACCCTGAGGCAGGCCTGGAAAGTGGTCACCTAGTAGGGCCCCTTCTCTCCTTTGGGAGGCGATGTAAACAGAGCCCCAGAGTTAAGGGTTTGGCCCAAGGTCACGCCCGGGATCAGTTGCAAAACCAAGAAAAGAACCCGGGACTTCCTATGTGCCCAGCCTAGCTGGAGGGAGAAGGCAAAGAGGGATGAGCCTTTCTACCCCATAACCCTCTGCCAGCCTTGCCCCTTCCTCAGGGGCCACCAGAGGTGTGTACACACCTCACACACGTACATGCATCTGCACAGGGAGGCACCCCCACTAATGCCCATGAACCAGCACAGAAAGGGATGTGTGTACCCACGAGCTAGGTATCCTTCCTCTCCCTAGGCCGCCCCCTCTGCAGCTTGGCTGGGACCTCTTCCCACCCCACCTTAACCAGGGCCCTCTGCACTGGGCAAATCTCTCACCTTCTGCTTCCAGAGGAGGAGGGTAAAGGAAGAGAAGACACCCAAACTGGGAGCTCCATTCCTTCCTCGCCTTTCTTCTTGACCCTAGCAGCCCCTCTATTGTTGGTGGGTGGGAAGGGCAGTCCAATGTCCCCGAGAGCCTGCAGAGAAGCCCGGTCAAAGAACCAGAGCCTCTATCTCCTTCTTGTCTTCTGGTCTTTCCACATCAGCCTCCACCCACACTCCAAGCATAGTCTGGACCACACAGTGGACTGGGTCCAGGGGCTCCCATGTCTCCCCTTTGTGACTGGGTTGGCCACGGGGAGAAAATCTAACATGTAGTGGATTCTTACTGTGGATGGGGGTTGTGCTGAACTAAGTCTTTCTTTGAGACCTGTTTGTTCTGCCATTTCTGTAACCCCATGACCCTGTAGACTCAGGAAAACGGAGACACAGAGAGGTGGAGTGACTTTCCAGGGATCACTAGTTAAGCGGCTGAGCTAGGTTTCAAAGACAGGCTTGTCTGACTCTTGGGCAAGTGTTTCCCTCCAGGAAAGGAAAAAGCTGTGGTATTTTTTCCCCAAGCAGGATGAGGGATGTGGGAGGCAGGGAATCAGGCGGTGGATGTGGGGTGATGGGGGATATGGGGACGCAGGTTGTGGGGAGTTTTTGATCAGGGGAGGGAGACCTTTTCTTTCAAACATCCCTGCTGTCTTTCATATCTTCCAGGTTTGATCACTATGATCATCTTATCCACAGAGGATGCAGGGCTTCATTTTTGTTCCTAAAAACAGGGGTACCATAGATATGTAAATATGTGTCCTAATGCCTCCTGAACTTGCCCTCATCCTTGCCCTCAAACCTTTACCTCACCAATGCTTTCAGAACCTAGAGAGACTTCATCTCACTACAAGTCCCTGTCCTTAGCCTTATGTTTCTTATTCTTTCCTTTCTAGCACCCAGGAAGGCAGGGGGCTCCCTTTATCCAAGGAGGTGACTGTGCAGGTGGCCACCACAGGTGGCAAGAACCACAGGCTGGGGCACTCCGGAGTCAGGAGTGAGTGGGCAGGTTGACTGGCCTCAGGCAGCCTCTCAGCCAGGGCCCTCTCCGCGTCAGCATGAACTCCAGGACCGCATCTGCTAGGGGCTGGTTCAGCAGCCGCCCACCCACCTCTGAGTCTGACCTGGAACCTGCCACAGATGGGCCAGCCTCCGAGACCACTACCCTCAGCCCAGAGGCCACCACCTTTAATGACACCAGAATCCCTGATGCGGCTGGTGGCACGGCCGGCGTGGGTACCATGCTTCTGTCCTTTGGGATCATCACGGTGATAGGCCTGGCTGTGGCCATGGTGAGAGCTGGGGTAGGCTGGGGGAGGATAATCAGTGTTTAGATTTATAGAGAACCTGTTCAATCAGAAGACAATCTGGTTGTTGTTGTTGTTTTTGAGACAGAGTCTTGCTCTGTCATCCAGGCTGGAGTGCAATGGCTCGATCTTGGCTCACTGCAACCTCTACCTCCTGGGCTTAAGCGAGTCTGCTGCCTCAGCCTCCCAAGTAGCTGGGATTACAGGTGTGAGCTGCCATGCCTGGCTAATTTTTTGTACTTTTAGTAGAGATGGGGTTTCGTTATGTTGGTCAGGCTGGTCTTGAACTCCTGGCCTCAAGTGATCTGCCCCCGTCAGCCTCCCAAAGTGCTGGGATTACAGGCATGAGCCTCTTCGCCCAGCCAACAATCTATTAATGAGAGTGCAGTCCTCCTCTCTCACAGAGATTTGTCCACTGGGGCCCAGAGACCAGAGACCAGAGACCAGGGAGGCAATGCTTCCAACTGGAAGAAACAGAAAAGGTTCTTGGGAATTACATGGTGTCTTGAGCTGGGTGGTGAAGGCCACATAGTAGTCAGGGAGTTCCAAGTGGAGGGTCCTGATGGGCAAAAGTTTGGAGGCAGACAGGAGGTTCTGTGAGCAGCCAGCAGGACAGTTAGGGCAGTGGGTATGGGATTGCAATAGGAGAAGAGTCTTAAAGGTGGTTGATGTGGACTGTGGGCAGCAGAGTCTGGGTGAGCTGATCTGCACCTGGGAGGCTGTTGGCAGTGAACATTCATTTATTCACTTTACTGAGTGTACCTGCCCTGGACCAGGCCTTTGGGACCCAATAGAGGCTAGGAAGACAAGGTCCTGCCCTGTGGTTCTTACAGGAAGCGGGAAACATAAAAACCAAGGTTCCAAGGAAAGCCTGCAGGGACTGACTTGGGGACTCAAGCAGGAAAGCAGGAGCTTTCCAGGCTGGGTGGTTAGGGACAGCTGAGAAGCAAAATTAGAGTTGAGATCTCAAAGTGCAAGCCTGGCCTCCGTGTCATGAGAAGGGGTGGAGGTGGCAGCCATCAGGAAGGAAGGGGGCTGGGGAGAGGGCTGCAGGTATCATCCAGTAGTGAGTGTGACGCCTCTTGATCTGGTGTCAGTCCCTAAGGATATGGACTGTCCCCCTAAGATGATACATGGACACTCAGAATGTCACTGAGGGACCACTGGAGATCGTGCAGGCTGAGACTAGGGAGGATGGGGTGCCCCTGAAGTTCCCCAGTTTGTCTGGCAATGGTAGGATTCTGCTCACTGCCCCTTGCAGGCTCTGATGGCTGGCCTTGGGCTCAGGAGCATGTTGCTCTGACAAGTAGGGCTGTGGATGGTCCATCATGGCCTGGTTGGAGCTGCTGTTAAACCAGGGTTGCCATATGGGCCCCACAGGCTCCAGATTGCTGCCAGGGAGCAACTGCCAGCCAGCAAGCAGGCCCAGGGTGCAGCATAGGCAGAATGAGGCCAGGGCCTGAGAGGTCTCCTGGGTGGGGGTAAGGCAGGATGCCAGTGTTTTCCCTTGGCACCCATGCAGTGGGTAAGCAGATGGAGGCACCCTTAAGGGCAAAATGGGGCCTAGAAACTGCCCTCTTTACTCTCAGTGAAAGGTTTTGTCCTTGGAACTTGAGAACACTTTCTTACTCTTTGTTCTAGAGGAACATTCAGAAGGCCTGGGTGGATGGCCCGCTTGCCAAAATCAGAGAGGTAGGAAGCTCATAGGACAAAGGCAGCGGAGGGCAGAAGATAGCTCCTGGGGACTGCAGACAGGCCCAGAGGTGCTCACTAAGCGCTGCTTCCTCTCCCCGATGCCAGCCTCAAGGAGGGCTGTGGGTACAAGGAGGAGCAAATCTGCACCAAGCTTTCTGCCTTACCCAGGAGGGAAAAGTGCTTGGCACGGGCAGACCAGGATCAGTGGTGGGGGAGGTTCCTGGAGGAGGCGGGGCTGCACCTGCTGGACAGTGAAGGGTAGAGAAGATTTGGAAAGGAATGTGTGGGGGTGGGTGTTAGCTGAGGAACAGGGGAAAAGGCATGGAAATTGGGTAAAAGTTCTGGCCTTTTCTGTAGATCCTTCTGAATCCCAGGGTCTCAGGGGAGGGAGGAGGGCTTGGGGCAAGGGCTGAAAGGTGGGGACCGCAGAGGCTGGGGCTGGGGATGGATCCACTTGCTCATGGTGGCAGGGGCTGGGCCAGAAGATCCCAGAGTTCCTGTCACAGCCTACCCACAGGAGAGCAAGGGAGCACCCCTACGTGGGACCCTGAACAGGAGGGGAGAATGAGGATCGATACCCCAGTTTCTTTTTAGGTTTTGGGAGTCCTGCAGGAGGAGCTCTGGGCCAGGCTGGAAACCAAACCAGATTCAAGCTGTGAATGGGCCACAAAGAACATGGGAGGATTTGGAGCAAACCACAGGGCTGTGCTTTCCCCCAGGCAGAGGTAGTCATGCTCCTGGTAGTCAGAAACTGCCAGTTTAGGGAAGAGCAGGATGATGGCAGAAGTCCCTGGATTCCCTACCCAAAGTGGTCCCACAAGTGTTACCCGCTTCCTTCCTCTCCTCAGTGCATTGTACAGGGTTTCTTGCTCTGACCTAGAGGTCCTAGATGTTTTCTCAGGCTGCCTAGGCCCTCATCTTTAAGGTTGTACATTGAGGGACCGGACCTCAGGGGTTCCTCTTGCATCAGAGCTTTGGGGGGTTGACCTGGGCTGATGCCTAGGGGCTGCGGTCCCCCACCCCTACCTTAGTCCACTGGGAGCCGTCAGCCTCCCATAGGAACTCCAGTGACCACCAGCTCAGGGCCTTGCCTAGAGCCACTGCTCTACACACTACAGAGTCTGGCCACTGCCTGTCCCTGGTTCTTTTTGTTGTTGTTATAGAGATGGGGTGTCAGTATGTTGCCCAGGCTGGACTCGAACTTCTGGGCTCAAGAGATCCTCCTGCCTCAGACTCTTGAGTAACTGGGACTACAGGCACGCACCACCTTACCTGGTCCCTTTACTTTTTCCCTGCATGTGGCTTTGGGCCTGGGAAGAGTTGAGGGGAGGGTACGCGCTGAAGTCTTCCCTTTCGTCTTCAGTCCTGGGGAGCCACAGGTGGGTGCTGAGTGGCTGGAGCTACAGTTAGTATTGGCAGCTCAGCCAATAGGTGGGGCCCACCAGTCCCCAGGCTGGGCCTAACTGTGTGGGCTCCCAGGCTGGAGGGAGCCTCTGAGTCTCCAAACTCAGCCTGGGCACTGTCTGCAGCTACAATGTCAAAAGGAGGCATGGGGTGGGCGCGGGGGCTCACGCCTGCAATCCCAGCACTGTGGGAGGCCAAGGCGGGCTGATCACGAGGTCAGGAGTTCAAGACCAGCCTGGCCAACATGGTGAAACTCCATCTCTACTAAAATTACAAAAATTAGCCGGGTGTGGTGGTGCACGCCCTCCCAACTACTTGGGAGGCTGAGGCAGGAGAATCACTTGAACGCCGGAGTGGAGGTTGCAGTGAGCCAAGATTGTGCCATTGCACTCCAGCCTAGGTGACAGAGTGAGACTCTGT